TTACTGACTTTGTACTCACTAAGAGGTCAATTGATTATATTGCATTACATAACTCTCTATTCCATTACACAACTGACAATTACAGTTTAGTAAATATGATGTCAATTCTGGTATCAGATGATCATGCAAGAGCTCTTCTGGTTTGACCATAATAAAAACAAACCTATGGCTACATTTCCATCATCTTCTATGTGGATGATTAACACCAAAATTAGCAGGATACAAGGAGAAAGTGAACCAAAAAGAAAAGCTATATCAAAAAAAAAAAAAAAAAAAAGAGTAGGTATAAAGAGAGGGCTTTCAACTTCAATAAGTCTTAGTCAGATTTTTAACTAGATTTAAGAAAAATTACTATTATTGACTTGGAGTCCTTGCTTCCTGGTACTCTCCAGCCACTACCAAATGATTTTAAATTTTAATGCAAATCAATAAACAGCCTGCAGCTCCTATCTTCTCTTTTTCTGGCTCATTTTCCCATTCATACCCCTTAACCCTTTTTTTTTGGTCACACTGTATCTTGGATTTGCTCCCACCAGCATTTATTTAAAAAAAAAAAAAAAAGATGAAATCAAAAGAGGACAGTAAGTCCAGCCGCACTGCCCCAAGTCCTCATTCACTGCTCACTGAAAGGGAAACAAAGTCATCTCAGCTTGTTACTTGGTATCACTTGGCAAATCACGCCCATCTTCTGAAAAACATCTGGATTTAAGACAAAACTGTTATGAAATATTTTAACACTGGGATCACAGTGACACCTGGAGTGGTGTGCACAAAAGTAAATGAAATATATCACCACTGCCATGGTGCCTCTGCGCCACTTTCATAAGGGCACTGAGTGTCTTATAAACAACAGAAATTTATTTCTTACAGTTCTGGAGGCTGGATGTATAAGATCAATGTATCAATGGATTCGGTGTCTAATCAGGGCCTACCTGCTTTCTGGTTCACAGAAACTATTATTTTGTTTTCCTGTGTCCTCACTTGATAGAAGAGAAGAGGTTTCTCCCAAGCTTCTTTTATAAGGGCACTAATAATATTCCTGAAGGCTTCACCCTCGTGACCTAATCTTCTTCCAAAGTCTCCATCTCCTGATTCCTTTACCTGAGGGCTAAGATTCCAATTTGCATTTGGGGGGGGGGAATAACACAAATATTGAACCTATAGCAACTATGAAATACTTCTAATAAAGGAGAAATGAAATAAAATACTAAAGAAGCAACACAGAAAAACGAGTAAGAACTTAAAATATACTGTACTAATCAGCTGTTCTCAACTTTATCAGTTAAAATTTTCACTTTGATAGTTAATATTAGAATCGTATCTTAATATTTAAGTGATTTTCTCTAAAATTTGAATTTGATATCATCTCTTTAGTTTAAAATTCTTCACATATTTTATTTTAGGTACATAAAAAATTTTTAAAAATTCAAAAAGATAAGTTTGGTTTTCAAGCTTCACTATATACCTATTGCCCTTAGATTTGAAGAATAGAAAGCTAGGAAGTATCTTGTGTACTGAGTAACTAATTTAAAGGTAACAATGTGCAATGTACTAAACATTGTTACTCTCGTATTATCTTGTTTTGAAATTTTGTTTTATTTTTTTGTTTAAAATAAAAGAGAAAAGAAATATGGGAAAGAGGAAGGCGGAAGCAAAAATTACAGTTATAGCTCCTTACCTTCCCATCCCCTCCATCCCTGCCCAGGATAGCACGGAAGTTAGCAAATGCCTGGACACACCCAGCACAAATTTCCTAAGTAACAACCTGCTTAACTTATTATTATTATTATTGTTATTTTACGAAAAGCCTCCAGCATCCATTCAAGGTTTGTTCACAGAAGAAGCCAGCTAGTCCTATCATGGACCTTTAAATGTCTTGTGTTCGAAATCTCCTGCTCAGAACTGATCACTCCCTCACCAAAACCAACACATGGCTTATGAAGAGTCATGATAACCAATCCATGCCCATGCAAAACAACCTTAAAATTTCCAATCAACAAGCAGATTCTCTTCTCTCCCTTAAGCTCCTCCTGATGCCAAATGACCCTGGAGACAGATCTGAGCTTTGTTCTCTCCTTTCTTCATGATGGCCAGCCCCCCATAAAATATGTTTTCTTTTAGCAAAAACCCCATGCCATGGTAATGGCTTCCACTTGCACTGTGAAGGTAGTTACCACATCAGCAAATTTAACAGGTGAATCACAGCCAAGGGCGTGCTCGGTGGTAAAGTGTTTGCCTAGCATGTACAAGGCCCTTGGTTTGATCCTCAGCACTTCCAAAAAAGTAAATAAGTAAAACAGGTAAATATCAATACAGTGGCTGGAGCACTCTAAATCAATCACTACTGTCTTTAGGAAAGAGATATCCTCTACGATTTTTTGTCAGCTTTTTATTCTGGAGTTTGTGTGGGGCTTTGCCAGGGTGTTTTTCCTCCTTATAGAAGCTTAGACAACTGTGTAAGCCCATACTCAGTGGGTAAATTCAGAAATCCGGGTTTATGTGAAGATCTAGGCATCGGCACACACTCACACTCTCTTTGTGGGAGCGATTGTCTAGCAGGTGCTCTACCACTGAGCTGCACTTCCTGCTTGCCTCTTGTTAGTGCAGAAACAGGGCCTCAATGTGTTTCCCTTGGTCTCATTCCGAGCTTAGAAATCAATTCTATTTTTAAAAGATAATATTTCTATGCATAAAATATTCTGGACACAGTTTAGTGCAAATTCATTGGTTAATGAATAAGTCCCAGTTAATATATTTCAGGCTAACAGGTTTTGTTTCTGTATTTCCCACACGCAAGTCAATCATCAAGACTTTTGCTCTGCTTACTAAGTTCCAGTGAGTGGACCCGAGTAGTGTACTCTCACCGTTCTCATATGTTTGACAGAAAGAGAGGGGTGATTTAAAAACTGCTGTTCTCCCAATATGTTATATGTTGCTAGTAAAGGAGTCCCATTTCTAAGAATTTCTAAAATGAGAATTAAAAACCTGAGAGGGATGTTGGATTGGTGAAGAGAATTATAGTAACACTGCTACTCAGACACATGAAGCCAGGACAAGATGTCAGAACAAAGAGCTTCAGAATACAAAGTCAACAATACACACAGATCAACAGTCTTCCTGTACTCCGGTGATAAACCCAACAAGAATGAAATCAGAAAAAGAATTCCATTCACAGTGGTTTCAAAAAAAGTAAATACTTATGGATCAACCTAAACAGAGGGGTCAAAGATCTTTGTAACGAAAGTTACACAACTCTGAAGAAAGAAACAAAAAAGGGCATTAGAAAATGGAAAGATCACCCTTGTTTGTGGATCAGTAGCACCATTATTGTTAAAATAGCCACATTACCAAAAGCGTTCTATGGATTCAATCCAGTCTCTATTAAAATATCAACATTCTTCATAGAACTAAAAAGAGTTAGAGACATTATTCTACAGTGATACGTGCATGCACATGTTTATAGCTAAGCTCTGCAAACAGCCTAGATGCCTGTCAAATGGGTGAATGAATAAATTCAACCTGGCATATACACACAACAGAATACTCTTCAGCCAAAAGAAGAATGAAATTATGTCATTTGCAAGAAAATGGATGGAACTGAGTTGATAATGCTAAGCAAAACAAGTTACATAAAGGTAAATTTGCTTAGTTTCTCTTACATGGGAAACCTAAACTACAAATTAAGGAATGAAATAAAGAAGAGATGGTATGAAAGAAAAAGAAGCATACACATGTCACCCCAGCATGTGGGAGATTGAGGCAGGATTGCTATGAACTGGAGGCCAACTGAGCTACACAGTAAGGCCCTATTTAGGGCCCTGGGTGGGGGAGAGCAGACTTTTGGAGACAGGAAAAGGGGTGGAGGAGGGACAATGGTAAGAAAGGGAATGAAGGTATAAAAACTGACCAACGTATGTTATATGAAAAGTACCAGTTTTTCAAAGCAAATATCACTACTTTGTATTGTACACATACACTAATAAAGGAAACAAATACCAGAGCAAAGGGCCTTGATGGGTGCCAGACCCTGGAAAAAAAGATGTAGTTAGAGAGGGAGGTGTGTGAACAGAAAGTAGGCCTCCAGAGGGTGCAAGACATACTCAGCCCACTTCACTCTTAATGGAAGCCATGTGTTCTGCACCCAGGGGAGAAGTACCGTGAACGCACTGGAGGAAAATCTGTATTTTTATGCATTTGACAGCATTCCGTGGGTCTATGGTTTTACTAGACTGGTCAAAAAAACCTAGATGAACTTCTGAGTCTTATCCTGTGAGTCTTATCCATTTTCTTGTTACCATGCACTTCCAATACCAGTTTTTTTTTTTTTATCAACAATCTTTCTAAAAACTTTTCCAGTTTACTCTTGATGAAACTCTCATATCCTTGTGACTCTCCTGTACTGTCCTTAGACTCACTTCAGAGAAAGGCTATGCTGACTTGCAAGGACTGGGAATGAATTGCCTAGAGAAAAATACTTGCAGACTAAAGACACGAGCCCTCTTTCAGCCTAGAACATTGTGATGGACTTGTGGAGAGCATTTATGGTGCATTTATCTGCGAAGCATCTTAACAACACATGCACTGCCTTCTTCCCAAGTGCCCAAAAGGAAGCAAAAGAAAAGATGAAAGCATTAAAGTAGGAGGGTGCACGGTGATACTGCCCTTATCTCAGGCTGCTCAACACTAACTTCATCTTCTCCCAGGCAAGAGTGTTTGTAAATTGCATCAAAATCATTCTGGATTCTCAAGCCAGCCGGTATGGACTCCTGGAAGCAGCCAGAGAAGCTCTCATTTGTAAGGTTATGTTGCTTTCTTATGAAGTGGAGATGATTACCTTGAAGTGTCTGATGAGGACAAAGAGGTGTGTAACTGTCATCAGGACCTCTTCACTGTGTGCTTGCTTAACTTTCTGCTGCAGATATTTGTAAGCATTCTACTCTTACTATTCCAGCTGTATGGTTTTAGATTTTAATGGAAACAGCTCCGTTCAAAATGTTCAAGTGCTTGTTTGGCAGCACACATAATAAACTTCGAGTGATGCAGAGAAGATTAGCATGCCTCTTGCACAAGGATGATGTACACATTTGTAAAGCATTCCATGTTTTTAAAAATATTTGAAATAACTTAGCGACTACAAAGCAAGTTTGAATTCTATTTACCTATGCATTTTGGAAATGCTAAACAAATCAGTTATTCTATGGAAGACTGTTTCACACTCTGTCAAGAATATTCAAGAGGAAAGGATATAGTTTCCATTTGTTTCTAAATAATCAAATAATGACTGTTCATTTATTTTGTTGTCCAAAGTAAAAAATATATATGCTGGGCTAAAAAATGTCAGTGCACATGCTGTTAGATCTATCATTTGCTACATTTTCCTAAACCTTTTCATTTTTAATATAGTACATAGCCTAAGATAAGTCTTACTTGAGACTATAACAAAATTTTTCCATTATTCAGGTTCTTTTGTCTGTTGATATTTTTGCCATATTATCAAGGACATGGCCAAGGTCCTGAGTCTCCCAAATGAGTATACAGCAAAGGCTTAAATAAATGAGACAAGTGGTATGATTTTTAAGGCTCCAGGAGGATCAAAACCCTCTGCAGAGTTCAAGACTCTGTGGGCTAAGACAAGGACTGTCTCTGGGCAGCCCATATTTATTTATTATTCAAACAAGGAAGGGGTTAGAGGAGAAAATGCAGGAGACCTGGGCAGGACCTTGGGCGAAGTTCAAGTAACAGCACTATGTTAATTCAGGAGAACTACCCTAGGAAAAAGTCTCCAGGTGATTTTCACTACAGGAGAGAAATGCCTGCAGCCACAACCTCTATCTTATTAATGGGGGTTGGAGCCAGGTGTCCTCGCTGTGGCTTATCTTTGAGTTGTTTCTTTGTCTCAGTTCAGCCATGCCACAGCCCTGCACATGTATTCAGCTCCAACGGCTCCAACACCCTATTTATCAGAAGATGGCTAAAATAGGAAGAAAGTTTAAAAACTTAAAACACATGAGAGGCAATTCAGTTTTTCCTCTCTAGTATTGTATTAACTCCTTCAGGCTAACAGAATCCTATTTCCCAGCTTACCTTCCCTAACAGCCTTCCCCAGGGGCTTGAACAGAGGTTAGCAACATTTCAGGGAATAAATGCGAACACTGGGGATCATTGTTAGAACTGTAAAAATCAATCAAGAAATCGCTCACTTATGAGTGGTCAGGTTCAAATGACATTCAGTTCAGCTGAAGTCTCCTGGTAAGAAGCCAGTAGATTGCTCTTTTGACAAGGTTGGATTTCCCCCCTCCCAGGACAATTTGACACAGTGTATCAAATTACTTTATTAAAAAAAAGTAGAACACTTCCACTGAATTTCTTTTGAGTAACACTTTAAAAATGAAGGAAGATTTGTAACAGACATCATTCTTATTTAAAAAGACTCGTATAAACATTACATCCCAAATTTTTAAGTTTACTAAGATTAAGGCAAGAATACAATGGCCCAGGATGCAGAGGTGGTTGTCATTTACAATTAGCCAACCTTGGGCTTACTGGTACAACTGAAGAATATTTTTTAATGCATTTTCAGGAACAGAAATGAAAATTTTAGGAATGAGCTGGGGAAGTAGCTCAATGGTAAAGTGTGCATTTAGCATGACTGAGACACTGAGTTTAGTCCCCAGTACCACAGTAAACAAAATTAAGTAGAGGAGGAGGGAAAAAAGACAACAGAAGTCAGTAGTTAGGCCACCTAGGTCAAGCACAGTCCAGCATGGCCCACACTCTTTGGAGAATATCAAACCTTCCCTCTTTCCATCTCCATGGAAATGCTCAGTCCCTTGGGAAGCATCCATCTCCCTGCTTGAAAGTCTCCCAAATGAGGGGGAAAAAGTATTTCCTTTTTAAAAAATATCTCTTTCCAGGCAAGAGAAATTTATTGGGCTTTATTTTTTATAATTGGCTTTTTTAATGATGGATTTTCTGTTTGCTTTTTGAATATAAAATAATGTTGAATATACAATTTGTATATTCAACACAAAAAACAAGACAAGAGACGAGCATTTTGAAGGCTGGGCTATAGCTCAGGGTTAGAGCATTTCCCTAGCATGTGAAAGGCTTCAATCCAGAGCAGTACACACACACACACACACACACACACACACACACACACACACACGGAGGCATTTCTCTGTCAACTGACATTAGAGGCTGAAATCCCATATTAGTTCAAATTTTGGGTCAAGGCAATAAAGGGACACTGTTGCACCATAATTCAGCAACTGGTCCCTTTCAAGGTACATTTTATCAGACTGAGTCAGATCCCTAGGAACAGTGACATCAAGGAGAGAATGCAGAGCCCAGCTGCCACTGCTGGGTGAGGCAGCCGTGGGTTCGCCTCATTGAAGTGGGTTCCAGGCAGCTGTGGAGAGAAAGCTGGGACTCAAAAAAGGGTTCCTTTTTCTTTTACAGCTGGGGTAGGTGTGTGGTGCCCAAAGAATTAACTAGGCTAAATATGACAGCCTTTGAGCATTTCTGCTTTTCCCTGGAGAATCAAGAACAAGGACAGCTAACCGATCTGGTTTTATAGGTCGCTGGGGATCTGGCTGGCTCTGATATGTGCTGCTGGACGCGTCCTTCCAAGTCAGTTTTGTGGCAGATATATAGCAAGATAGGCTGGCTACCATTCCGGTCAGCATATGTATTGCCTTCCCTTTGACCACAGGACTTACAAATATTCCCTAAATCAGAAAAATGTCAAACATAGGACACCTCCTGATGCAGGAATCTGCTACAGACCCTCCCTATAATTCTTGTGTACCCTACTTTACTTAACACATTTTGAAAAGTTTAAAGAAAACCAAAGTATTTGAAATTAAATGATAGTCCACTGACTTTCAGTTTTTTAATATATTTCCATAAAATATGAATCTTGACCTTTTGTATTTTGATACTAAAACCCCATAGATTAACACAAAATAAAAATTTATAATAAAATAAAATCATCAAAAGGTTAAATGTGGTTTTGAAATATAATTGCTGTGCCAAATGAAAAATTGGCTATTATCATTGAAAACACACTGAGAACACTGAACATGTATTAAAGGGTCTCAGAGCACGATAAGGGAAACGCACCTCCTAACCTGCAGTACATCAGATATGCCATGTTCATGTCCCCTGAAGGCACAGAATGAACTCTAGAGGTCAGTGGAGATTAAAAGTAGGCAAGGTTTATTGAGAGGTAGCCCCTGAGAGACAGGAGGAGTACCCAGTGAGTTGCCACTGAGATCTTTTGCTGAGGGTAATTTGCACAGCAACATGTGGGTACAATGTGGGTCAAACTATAATCAACTTATAGGATTAGAAGCTTCGCTAATATTGGTCCAATAGGGAAACAGATCGTGTAGCAAGGATACCTGGAAGGAACAAAGGCATTTTTGGAAAGGATGAGTCCAGATGCTGAGGTCACTCACCTGGGCAAGTGATGCCCCACAGGACTTCCTGGACCAGGTGGTGCTAATCACAGTAGATTTCCAAGTTCCCACTTATCCCTGGGGGAGAAATGGAGGCCTGACCATTACATCTTTATCTGGACACCCAGTCTTCTTTAGATGCACCTCCAGCCACAATTCTAATGTCTTTAATTTTCACTGCCTTCCTTGAGAGCCTGGTCCCTTTCTGTGTATTAATTTCTCTCTGACTTACCTGCCTACACTACACTATGATTTTTTTTCATATCGAAGTTTGTTTAAATGATTAGTTTCTTTTCAGGAATCTTTACATAAAAAGTCATAATAGAGGGGCTGGGGATTTAGCTCAGCGGCGTAAGAACCTGCCTTGCAAGCAGGCGGTTGTGAGTTCGATCCCCAGTTCCGATAAAAAGTTAAAAAAAAAAAGTCATAATAGCCAACAATAGTATTAGAAAAACCCAAAACAATACCAAAAAAAAAACAAAAACAAAAAACACAGATGCTCCCATTTTATGCAAAGCACAATGAGATCAAACACAAATTACCTAACTTTATCCTTCTGACATTTACTCATACCCATCACCATCACTGGCACAGAGGTGCTACATATATGGAGTTGTAAATCCGGAGCACCAATTACTTGTTCTGGAATATTTATCAAAGACTAAAATCACCTGAGGCCCTTGTTCAAAAAACCATGGTCTTAGTTCAGAGAGAGTTTTGAAATCTGTAGTTCACTTTTTAAGAAGTGTTTCAGGTGATTCTAGTATAAAATAAAATTTGAAAAATCATTTATGAATTCATTTTAAACATAAATTTTAGACATGATTTTAATTCAGAGAAGTGTAAGTAAAAGGGCCTGTGCTTTCTCTCTTGGAATGAAGATGGACATGTCATTAGACAATTCAAGTAAAATAACTCCTCGCCATGTTTTATTACCTAAACAGATTCTTTGCCTCATGCATAGAAACTCCTTTGCCCCAAAAACTGTCACCGTCTCCTGTTATTGCCCGGGAGGTGTTAGCATTCGTATGTATGTACCTGGTATTATGTGCAGCAGATGAATGATACCATCTACAGTTGTTTTTTTTAAAACTCAATTAACTCAAGGTTTCTTTGCAGAGAGCATATTGTGCTCGAGCTCATTCTTTTAATCTCCAGCATCAAAACTCATTAAATATAAAGGCTATAGTTTTATTTCTTGCTTTTGAGCATTTCTTTTTTTTTTAAATCGGTACTGGGGATCGAACTCAAAACCATGCACTTGCAAGGCAGGGCTTATGCCACTGAGCTAAATCTCCAGCCAGCCTTTGATCATTTCTACTACTATAAACAATATTTCCAGGAATATCTTGGCTATGCAGTCTCATTAAAAGTATAAATCTGCTATTAAAATTACTCAAAGATGTCAACAGGTTTAAAGTTTAAGATTCTGAATTTAAACTTATTTCTGCTAGAAAGGAAAATTCTTAGCAAGGGTGGTTCATAGACACTGTTCTCCTTGAGCTGACTTAATTATAAAAAGAGTGTTTCATTTATGAATTTAACAGGACCACAAATGCAAAAGAAATAACATCAATTGGAATGTCACAGTGGGAGAAAACAGCAAGCATAGCAAATCCCTAAGCAAGCATGATTAGAAAAGATCTAAAAGTAAATATTTTAACGAATAGGGTTGCTAGAAAGGGACTTTAGAATCAATACAGTGATTGCAGTGATTATTTCAAAGATATCAAAGTTATTTCTGCATGGACATTTGTTTATTAATTTATTCAATAAACATGTTAGGCATTGTACTGAGTGTGAGGATATAAGGAAAGATGTACTTCCCACCCTCAGTTCAGATTGCTGCCCATAAAGGGATAGACACACTTGCCAAAACAAATAAACAAACAAATAAAAAACCTTGCTTTAAAAAAAAAAACTGAAAAATTATTCTTGAGAAACTCTGGGATGTTTTCAGAGAATAGTATCCAGACAGCGTGCAAAACAGAGGAAATGCCAGGGATCTAAGTCACCAAGGAGAGCAGAGAGGATGGACTGGAAACCAGTGTGTGATTATGTTGCTGCAGCAGAAAGCAAAAGGTGATGGGAATGGGAGCAGGAGGAGATGGGGCCAGCCAGGCCCAGATGACACCAGGTACCTGGACACGGGGCCAGATGATGGAGGGCAAGGAAATTGAATTTTATCCCATGAGCAATGCTGAGTAGTTCAGAATTTTGAATGGGAATGTAAGATACTCAGAGTCACACAAAATCCTCTGAGTCCTGCTGCTCTGTTTCAGGAATAGAGCTAACAATAACACATTGCATATTTCAAATAGCTAGAACAGAGGATTTTTGAATATTCTCTCACCATGAGCAATAAATGTTGGATATCCTAGTTACCCTAATTTGATAATTACACAATATATACATATATTGTAGCAGCACACCATATTCCACAAATACATGTAATCCTTATGTATCAATGAAATTTCTACAAAGTCCTCTGGGTGTGTAACTCAGCCATGGACTACTTTCCCAGCATGTGTGAGGCTCTGGTTCAAATCCAAGAATCCCCTCAAAAATAGCAACAACAACAACAACAACAAAACCCCTCTGGAATCTGGTGAGGGTGCTGATGAGGCAGCCGGCCTGGGGACAAGAAGGCTTCCCAGAGGCTGAGCCAACAGGGTTCAGCAATTGCTTGGACAGACAAGAGAGGCAGAGAGAAAGATCCATGATGTTACCAAAATGACCAGCTTAGGCAAATGGGTGCTTGGTAGGACCGTTCTTTAAAATAGGAATGGCTGAAAGAGACACAGGTCTTTCCAGAATCTCTTTCACTGGTTCTCTACATTTTCTGACTCAAAACAACACTCCTCACCAGTACCAGCATCGAGCCCAGGGCCTTGCACATGCTCAGTGCTCATTCTTCAAGCTCCATCCCAAGACCCCCGATACTCTCAATATTTTTTTTTGAAACTGACTATATAACTTTTATTCCCTTTACAGAAAACACTAGAGAAACTGTGAGCAAAAAACATGTGCTGACTTTCCACATGTATAAAGGGTTTCTAAGTAAATATGCCATTGGACATTAAATACATTTTTATTTAAGAAATTTCAGGTGATTTCTGTAATATTCCTTAAGGTCACTCAGTGAATTGTCATCTTCAAGATAGCCCCCTTTAAAGGGATTTGCTGCTTAATCCACTCATTCCATCTGTCCACCATTCTTTTATGTCCAGTTGAATTATGGACAGTGACAACTTCAGAACTCCTGGGATCTTATCATCCAATTTCTGCGGGCAATCTGTATTTTAGGAGTATTTATGGTAGATGGATCTGCCGCCTTGCTGACACTTTCTCTAACACATGCATGAATTCATATTCATTTCCTAAGCTATTCAGAGTAGTGCAGAGCTCTAGGACATGCAAAATATCTAAAGTTAAAAGAAAAAGTATTAGTTTTCATTCTTTTTGCTGTCATGTAGTGCTTTATCACAGGCCTAAGAAGTAGACCTGTGAGCAGAGCAAAACCAGTGTTACTCTACGAGGTGTTTCCAGCGACGTACTACAGAAGCTCCATCGAGATTGACCTCAAGATACTCTCAATATTTTTACATAAAAATATTTGTAACATTCCTGACTATTTTCTGAACAATAGGTGCCTCAATATATATGTATATCTAGCTTAAAATGTTGAATACAATGCCTCAATGATAACTAAAAGGGAGAAAATGAAGGCAAAATATCTGCATAAACATGTAAGCATTCAGGTATACCTAATACGCAGAGTACATTTGGGGTTACAGGACCAGCCCCTCCACTTACTTACCTGAACCTGGGCAATCCCAGCCCTTGTCTTGAGGCCCACTACCTGGAGGTAGAGATTTGAGGCTTGTGTGCCAGATTGCACTATGTACCCTACAGTAACCCGTCTGCCTTGGAATTCATTGAGGGTTCATGCCTGTGAACTGAATCACGTTATCTAATCATAGCAGAGTGAATTATGAGAAAGGACATGTGAGGTACATACAGCTATGACTCATCACCCTTCAATCATGTTGTCAAGCACACTCCGGAAGGCCCACTGAGAAACACCCTAGAAATTCTTAGCCCCAAGCATCATGCCATTTTCTTCTCCACTAGCAACAGCCCTGTCTGAGTGCACCATTGCTCCCCCAGGGGCATTATGGTGGGTACCAGATGCCCATACTATACTTTTCTATGAAAATATGCATTTTAGCATAATGGTAGCCAGTTGTCATGGTTTATGTCGGTGGCCCCCAGGCCTCATGTGCTTCCATTGTGCATTTGTGACTGGCTCATTGTCTAGTGCTTGGATTGATGGTGTCAGCGCTACACCTGCCTAGGAGTGGAGCCAGCATATAATGTAATGGCAGGAAGATGGTGTGTCTCACTCTCTTTCTGGTTTCTGCCTTGCTGTTTGCAGCCACCGTGAACTGCGGCCCCACCATGCCACCCTGTCTTGGAGCCAACTGAGTATGGACTGAAATCTCCAAAAACTGTAAGAAATAAACCTTTCCTTTCCCAATTTGGGCATCAGGTATTTTGTCTCAGCAACCAGTAAAAAGTAACTAAGACACCAGTTGTGCACCCCAGTAGCTGTGCTGGGGGAGTATTAGAAGCACTGTGTTTACTTACTTCATACAATAAATGGCAAAGTGTATAACCATGTGCCAAAGTGTCAACGGGTCAGTTTTACCTATGTTATGTGCCATGTTACATTTATGTATGTTTATAATTTTTTAAAATTTTTTATTTTAAAGAGAATAAAAGAGAACAAAACTATAATTTGTTCTATTCAATGTTGTCCTTTGATTTTTCTTGTAAAATTATGCCAATTCAGTGAAATGTTGCATGAAAATCCACTTTTACAACTTGGGCAGGAGGTTGATTCAGCTACTGATGATGACTTGGATCATGTAAATCAAAGAAATTGTGACAGTGAAATGGAGCAAGATAGGACAGGTAGAGAAGTACAGAATGAAGAACCGGATTCAGATGAGGAAGAAACAGTAGTGTTAATAAATATTTGATTAGCCAAAATGCTACAAGATGGTCATATATACCTGAATGATTCAACACTAGAACTAGGTGTCAGAAAATGTTATTAGGTTCTTGCCAGGACCTATTGGGTAGAATGCCAACACTTTGATTCAATGTTGGAAATTGTAACATAATGTGCAGCAATGTGCTTTGAAATACATTAATAAGGAAATACAAGTAGAACATTGTATACACGTCAATAGTAATACTCAAAAATATATTTATTATCACACCTCACTATCTGAACTAAAAGTCTTCATAGCAGGACTTTATCCTCCTAATCATTAGAATCTAAGTATTTATGCAAAAGTGACAGATGGGCTGTTGAGAGTTTTAGAACAATAATGATACGCAAGAGATTTGGTTTCCTTCAAAATTGCCTACATTTTGATAACAAAAAGTCCTACCAAGAAAAAAAAATCCAACAATTTAGCACTATTTGCTCATTTTATGAAAGCTGTTTCAAAATGTTGAGCAATTTATACAACGTCCAAATAGATGACAGCTGATGAACAACTTGTATCATTCTGTGATTATTGAAGCTTTTGGCAATATATGTCAAATAAACCTTCCAAATATATTACAAAAAAATGTATGCCCTGTTATATATGAAAATATTTTACATCTTGAGTTTGTAAATTTATCCTGGAACTCAGCCATCAGGTCTTTGTTCATGCAGTAATAAGCCATATGACATTGTGAACAGATATTGCTCCTATATCAAAAAGTAACCCAAAGGCCATCTTCAACAATTGGTTCTCTGGTTACCCATTTATGTTACATTTGCTACAGTAATACCAGTTGACAGAATAGGAGCTCTTTGCAAGAACAAAACTGAAAAACAAAGCTGAAGCTTGAAAAAAAATGTTGCAAGTTCGTAATAGACAAATGTAAAGTACAGCCTTTGGATTTCAGAGAGACATAACACTGCCCTCTTATATGGTAAAGAAAAAGTATTATAGATACTATCAACATTACACGTGATGATAAGATTGGTAGTGAAGCCCAGTGTGGTAGTGCACCCCTGCAATCCTAGCACTCAAGAAGCTAAAGCAGGAGGAGCCTGTGAGTTCAAGGTCAGCCTGTGTTACATAGTGAGTTCTAGGCTAGCCTGGACTACATAGTAACAAACAAACTAAAAAAATTTAAAAATAATAATAATAAATGAAGCTAGAAATTACAACCAAATGAAAGACAGAGTAGATATTGCTGACCAGTTATGCAGCAACTGTGATGTCACTCAAAACACAAAGCATTGGCCCATGGTTATGTTTTACTCAATCCTAAACATGTCAGGCACAAATAGTTTCATAGTTTACAAAGAAAATAACAAGCACAAAATACTACATAGAATTTTTCTTAGAGGACTGAAACTAGAATTGATAAATGATCAATTACAACAGAAGATGAACAGTATGCATTTGCCCAAAGAACTCTGCAAAAGAATTCTGGAGGAGACTGTAACAGACAGATGAAACATCACAAGAACCTCCTGAGGAAACAGGAAGACCAGCAAAATGTCCTAGCAAAATATACAGGAAAGCAAAACACATGTGCTGTCAGTGTCAGTGATACTCGTGTATGGAACACTATGTTCTCATGTGTAAAAACTGCATTAGGTGATAATTCAAGTAAAGATTGTTTTTGTGGTAGGGCTTTGTGTTTTCTTTTTATTCACATAGGAATTTATTTCTGCTGTTATTTTTTAGATTTAGTAATGAAACAGTCAATGTAGAAAATATTGTTTATCTTAAACACCTATTATATATCTGCTATCTTATTTTGTTGATATTTGATTTTCCTTGTAAGTGCACATTATATTATAGGAACCTCCTGACAAGACAGGAAGACAAGGGAGGTAACAAGTATGACCTGACCAAAAAGATAGGAAAACAAAACACACGTGCTGTCATCATAAGCAATATTTGGGTGTGAGACCTACTGTTTTCATGTGTAAGACTGCCTAACATGTGATAATTCAAGTAAACATCATTTCTATACTAAAGTTTTGTTTGTATTTTCATTGTATTTCATTTCATGAGAATTTATTTCTGCTGTTATTTTTTAGATTCTGTAAGCAAGTAAATAGTTGATATTGAAAATGTTGGTGTTTATTCTAAATACTCATTACATATTAAAAATGTATTTATTTATTTATTGGTACTGGGGATCAACTTATGACCTCACGATTGCCAGGCAGGCACTTATGTCACTGAGCTAAATCCTCAGCCTAAAAATTTAGTATTTTATTGATCTTTATTTTCCTGTTAAGTACGTATTGTTTAATATAATCAAACATAAAATTATTAAAGACAGTAATTCATAAATAGAAAGGCTCCTAAAAAATAAACATGGGTATTATTGTACTCGACTCAAAAAACAGGGCCCCATGATGAAAAATGGGGCAAGACCCCAAGATGACAAACGGGGCAAGATGTTTTTTTTAAAAGAAGCGCTTTTATTTTAGCTGGCCCAGAGACACAGTGCAGATGGAATTTGCAAAGCTGTGCAACTGAGTTAGACTGATTTTTATAGTTCATTTATGATTAGCTCATTGATCATTAAGTACATAGTGATGAGAAACAGAAATAAGGTAGGCCTTTGTTCCCCTTTGCTTGAGGTCAGAGGCATTTCACAGTGGGTGGTTAGCCAATTCATAGCCTTTGGTTTGCCAATTCCAGGAACATTTGTCTCTCATGAAGGGAACAATGGTTGACACATCATCATTTGTCTCTTACAAGGGGAACAAAAGTTGACATAGCACACAGGTCACTAAGGTGGGGGGGGATGACGCATTACAGAACAGCAGAACGATGCGGTCAGTTAATTTATAACTATGTGGTTGGTGCTTGGTTACTAGGGTAATGAGCTTAGTACAGAATGACAATATTACTAATAACTATCTTTTTAAATAACTATTTTTGTTAATTATCTTTTAATCAATTAATTTTTAGCATCTTAGTATAACAGGTATTATACATCCTCTATACTTAAACTTCCAAAAATTTACCATGATGCCCCTACTTCATTAATTTCTGCTGCTTTATCTTTGCCATCATGTGCCACATCCAATTCTTAATTCATCATACACAAAAACCTAGAAACCTGCCTGGGACCCATCACTCACAGCAACATGGTCACACAGTGAAGCAGACAGAAGGGGGCCTATTTGTGACATCACAGTCTTTGGAAAGCATTTCAGGATGCATGGGCAAGAGACATGCACGTATTTATCAAGCAGAATCACAGAGGCACACACTCAGAATGAGTGTGGGCCACTAGAGAGGGGGTGCATTGTCCTTGGGGCTGGGGCATTTATGTGGTTTTGAGAGTATCCTCAAGAACCACGATCAGTGGTGGAGAACCTATGGCACCCATCCAGCAGCAGCTGTTATCATTCAAAGCTCTAAAAGTTCACCATCACTGATCTAGGATGTGTCTGTAAGGCTACCCTTAGTGGGCAGGGTGAGACTGCAAACCATTTCTAAGCATTTGAATTTTAGAGATACCGTACGCATTTAATAGTGCTGTT